CTCTTCACTCCTCTTCCGCGCAAAGCGCGGGCAACTTTTTTGAAAGCAAGTCTTGAGACCAAAGGCACCACTGAGCCACCCAGCAGTGTCACGATGGTGGCACCTATAGGTTTTTTGAAATTCCAAATCAGCTCCAAATCGGCTCAAATCAGTTTGATATCAGTTTAAATCTTATTTGTGCACTTTTTTCACAAAAAGGTTCACAAAGCTGATGTGCCTTCAACTTTAATCACCGAAAGGATTTGAAGTGCGCTGAAGTGCACACAAGTGACACAGAAGTGCACTGAAGCGTGCAAGTGACAAAAAAGTGCACAAAGCTGACATTTGCAAAATCACACAAGTGACACCAAAGTGCACCCATGTGACAAAAAAAGTGCACAAAAGTGAAAAAGTGCAAAAAAAGTGCAACTCCAGCTCCGGAAAATAAAAATCCAACAGTATTCAACTAGGATTCAAAAGTATTCATTCGGTATTCATTCAGTATTCCAGTGCAAAATACTCCAGCTCCAGTATCCATTCATTCAGAGAAAGAGCAACAATATGCAAATGCAAATCCTCCAACTGCCACACTGACAAGCCAGCATGTATAAGTACTGTTACACACTGATCTCTAATAGCTGGCAGTAACATCAGGCACAGTCACAGACTTCAGCAGCAGCAACTGAGGCACAGTGCCCCTCAGTAAAACAAATGTAAATTGTGATAGTCGGTCAGCTTGCATTTAGTTTTGCGCCTACCATATCAAGTGACTCATGAACCAATGAATGTCAGTAAGTGAAGGTTCCACCACCCGAAGGTTTAGTTGGTTATAAAACTCACAACTTGAAACATGTTCTTCTAAAAACAAATTGAAGTATCAATAGTAGTAATACTCTCAAGTGCTAACAAACACTCACAACAAAATGAGGATGACAACGAAATGCTGACTTTCAAACACAGTAGATTAAAGCATTACTTGTCAGCCGTTTAATGAACATCACCTTCAGAAACACAAGTGGCAAATACACTTTTGTGCATTTTCAAATCATTTCAATTCATTTTGAATCAAGAAAAAAGTGCACAAATAAGATTTTATACGCTTCAAAGAATAAAAATTATTCAAAGGTGATGTGATGTTGGTTCCTTGTAAACAAGGGTGGCCTGGAGAAGGGTGCCCATCTGGACCCTCAACTGGGGATTTGGCATGATTTCGACACATTCTGAGCACACCCCCATCGACCAACATCACCATTTCAGCTGAGACTTGTCACGAAAACACGGCTTCGATATGCTTTGATGCAACACCCTGAAACGCAAATCCCATTGTCACAGCCACATCCAACATCCCCAAAACACCACTCTCCAAACGCCAATCCTAATGTGACTATGCAGAAAACTGCGGATCTCACAAAACGCTGCGCCTGCCAGTGAAATACTCCTCCACACTTCAACATCTTACGTTTCCACACGACTCCCCGCTATTTCACACGAATCTGACACGTCACGCTTCCAATGCAAAACCCTCTCCAAAAGCTTCCCACAATGGCAGCGCCTTAGCGCCCTACCGCGAACACTTGCGGTCGGTTGGGACGGTTGACAACGGTTGCGAACGCGAACAAGGCTCTACCCCCAGAGTTAAACGAGAACTTCGCTACGCATTCGGGAACAACTGTCACGAAAGCAAGGCTGAAAAATTGCCGAAGCAAGCTGAAAAGGAAGCCTGCGGCACCATGGTGGTGGTCACATGTTCAAATTCACAATGCTACTGAAGAACAGTGCCAGCTAGGATACCAACAATGCCTCAATGAGGAAGCCACAAAAACATGCACAATGCAAGTCATACCGTTCGTACGACACTGGACTGGCAATGGGTACCAAAATTATGCCTGCGAGGCAAAGCCCTCACTTAGTGACTCCCTTTGATGACCTTGACCTCCATGCACTTGCATAATCTGAAGCCCTTCGGTGCCTCTTTCAAGGCTTCCATTATTTTGTTCTGTGTATCTTTTTGCGCATCTGTCAGAGGCTTCTCCTGCCCGACAGAAGATCGACTGTATAGATAGAGTATTGGATCCAATTGCTGCTTGACATCAACAGCCCCTGCTAATTGCAACCCCGTCTTGTGACCCCAGAGGTTGCACAATGTGGTTGATTCTGAACTCAATGAAGTATTATATATCACTATATGGTGGTTGATCACACTTCCTTCTTGCTGAAAGGCCTATGCTTTCGCGGAACTTTCGCAAATCTTTCGCAAAAAATGTCGCGTCATTGGCGGATTTCTAGGCCCAAAGCGAAACAACAAAAGAGCTACAAGTACTGTACAGCCTAGGGATTGCGCATCGCAAGTCTGAGCTATATATATATTATATTGTGCAATGTAAAGGCTTGTGAATGTACCACTGAAGACTGACTGCGCCTAAGAGCATGGCCAAGCTAAATCACCAATGTGAGTGTGCTAGAAGCCTAAAGATTGCATCGAAAGTCAGGAATCAAGGCTCCTCCTGAGTGAAGGAAGTACGAAGTATACATAGTTCTAACATAGAGTAGATATGTGTAGATAGGATCTTTCGCAGATCTTTCGCAAATAAACAATTACTTTTGCGAAGTCAAGAAAAAACTTTTGCGAACAACTTGAAGAGGCCCTCAGTGACATGGGCCTTATGTCGACCTTTCGATCGACTGCCATATATTTGTATTTTCACACTTTGCGTGCCAAGGGCCCTAGAATCACCTGCTCTAGGGGGGTGCCTAGGTGCCTACTGACAACACGGGAAGAGTGACGAACAAAACACAATTTTGGAATGGAATCAGTGCTTGCGATACAAGCATCATACAAAGGCGGGTGTCCAAGCGGTTGCTGAAATTGCAATTGCATTGCATGTCTCCATGCAATATTACATCACCCAGCACTGGTCCGTGCTGTCTGTGTGAGCCACAATTTGCCTTTCATTGATCTGCTTTGTGCATCGATCTGACTTGTTGGTTCTGCCAGCCTTCCTCAAGTAAGAAAGCTGTTGCTCAATGTAAGCAGCAGGCTGCTCTTTCTCTTTTACACTCCTCAAATTCAATTCCACGCCGGCAGGCCAATATGCAATGCATCAAAAACGCAAACAAGCACAACAGTGTTGGGTCAATGGTTTACCGAACATGACTGTATGCACTCCCAGAAACATGACTAGTTCTTGCGATCAAGAAATGATCTGAAGAAATATGAAACATGACACATGTAAGAAGATTAAGAATGATATCGGAATTTTGTCGACGTGTCTGCATCTTTCTCTGTCTCCCGCATGTGTGAAAATATCCATTCTCCAGGCTTGGCATCTCTGTCGGTCCGTCAGTGGTTGGGTCGGTCGGTCGGTCGGTCAGTCTCTCTCTGTTTGAACAACGCCTTTGACAAAGACACAGGAATCAGCATGTCGCACACAGGATCCACACGCAAATCTGTGCAACGGATGGACAAGTCGTCGGAGGGATGTATCCGGCGCCGTCTGTGCGTGTGCGAGCCACAGGGGTCTGCTGTGCTTCAAGCTAAGTTGCATGTCTTTCTCTCGCGCCGGCGCCTGCTGAAACACTTGCCTCAGCTACGAGGCTAGGAGGCTCCTCTGTGAAATCAAAGGGTCTTTCCTTGTAACTTGTGACCAAGCAATCTGGCATCACCTGCTTCAAGATCCAAACCGGTGAACAATCTACTACATTCACCCACCGGTGATCTACTGAAAACCATGTACTGATGGATAGGCGATAATTACATTGATGTGCATATCCAAACCAAGTCACGTCCGTCTGGTGCGACGACGCCAAAGAATTCCTGCACCTGAGATTGTTGGGGTGGTTTTGGCATTCAGTAAGGGCAGGAAGAATGCTGCAAGCTTTAGCTATAGTAATAGCGATGCACTTGTTACTGGATGTTCAGGAGTTTCTCCAACCAATGAGCCCTTTCCAATTGCAAGTTTGCAAGTGGCAAGCAGGGATGTTTCAGTCTGGGATGTTGTGATTCAATCACAGCTCCAGCGACGGGTAAGTTATTCGCATGTTGTTGTGGTTCGCTAGGGCTGTGACAAAGAAAGGAGCGGTGGTCAGGACCAGAATAAAGGTGGGAAGATCTGCACCGCCACGTCCACCTCTGAAGGTTCATTGCTGGAAGACTCGATGCTGCATTCAGCCGGCTTGGTGTCTGTGGCTGTCAACAAGCCTCACACCTTGGGTTAACTTCTGCCCGGCGAAGCCTCACTAAGCTTCAATAAGAAAAGGTAAGAAGTACACTAAGACTACAGTGTAATTGTTCACATGTTTGCCCGAGTTGGGATCCGACCTGGCTGCTGTTGGGGGTTCGTGTCCAGCACCATGACCATATATTCTGCCCGGGCTGCCTGGTTTCGCACAGGTCATGAGTAGGTGATGAGCACAAAGATTGCAGAGTCATATGACTTTGACATTCAAAGCGTACAACACTGCGATTCGGAGGCACCATGAATGGTGCTTCGAATGGCCCATGGCTCTGGACTAGTCAGGGCCATAGCCGGGCCAGTTTTCGGCCAGTGCTGGAAGGCCATCGAAGAAGGGCTGTGTTTGGCTTGAAGTTTGACTGCGTAGTGCTTTGCTTTAGATCGCCATGGCTATGACCTGATGGTACTCGCCTGATGGGTCCCTACAACTCACCCAAGGTCGGTCTCAAGGGCTCCCTACGTCCCCACAGGAGTCCCTTGAGTCGTGACGCGTCAAAATTATTCATGCAAGCACATCATATCAGAACCTCGCTTTCTCTCTCGCTCTCTCTCCCTCTCTTTCTCTCTCTCTCTCTCTCCCTCTCTCTCTCCCTCTCTCTTCTTTGCTCTACCGAAAAAGCACCACCTATGTCTATATCTACCATGCAGAACCCGCACTGGGGCTCTGACCCACAATGCAATCTTCCCTCACCAAGTCTTCTTGCATTGGTCCCTTAAAGAGTTTTCTCAAAAGATCTGCTTCCCTTCCAGGCTCTAGGCAGGCTCCTCCGGAACTCACTCACTCCAGTCCTCATAGAAATGCCAGGCGGTCCCGTCCTTGGAGGTGAACCAAGAGGAACTGAACCTTTGAGTTCGTGTCCGTTTTGGAGCATGCAAAACTAAGCGGGTTAACATGGGTTAACCATAGCGTTGATGAAACGCAACGACTAAGCAGCTCCAAAATGCGCATCCAAGTCAAGGATCGCGACCTGCAGCATGCGCTTCAAGGAGGCCAACAAGAAAACGTTTTAATTCACATAGAAGGAAAATAGCCGCTCAAAGGAAAATTAAAGCAAACGGCAACCTCAGCAGAAATCGGTCGCCATTTGTTCATGAAACTGCTGGTGTTTGAAGCTGTGGCTGGACTCAATGCTGCCGTGTTTAAGTTGTATAAACACTCTCAAAGCTGTGCGCGCGACGTGCGGAAAGTGAAAGCTGTGACGGTCAAGTGGGCTACTGTGTTGTCTGTGTGTGTGTCACACTCTGTCCCGAGGAGTTCTTTTCTTAAGGTTATTTTTTCTGAAGGTTACACCTGTTCGATGCAGGGGGCAGAGAGGACTTGCAAGGCTCTGCCCAACGAAGCTCCTTGCAAGATCCTAGGAAGCGGAAGCTGATCACTTCCGTGTACCTGCTCGTGACACTACCCTACTTTTCTCGCTGTTTTTTGATTCCATGGTCCTTGCATGATAGACCCCAACACCGTGTTCTTCACGGTCGTGCAGCTGCGCCACCGCCGTTTGCAGCGATTTCTGAGCGCTTGAACCTCCTGTGTTAAAACACCTTCAAATTTTTCGGACTCGCTCACCTTGCCGTTCCATCGTCCTTTTTCGCGTGTAATTGAGTTCACGGAAAAACCATTGTCTAAGTGTGCTCTACCTCCTTTTCATTCCTTATCGGACCCACCGAGCTGAGTTAGAAACCCCAGTGAGAAACCTAGCGCCGACCTGACAAAGCTTGCGTGTTGGACTCTGCTGTTTTTGAATACCTGCTCATGTGATAAGCAAGATCCAAGCATATTGGGGCGTCAGTCCACCATTCCAACAAACAAAATGAACAAACAACTAGATTGTATAACCATTAAACTGCACAAATGTCAAATATAATAGGCAAAACAACAAACATGATGAGTAGCACCTTGCAGTGAGGATGTCTTGCATGCAGGTTCCTCACTGCCACAGCTGTCCTGAGAGGAAAGTTGGCTGAATCTCATAATCATCGAAACCCCTACCGCTTCTGCTGCTTGCAAGCATGCTAGTAACAACGTCACTGTCATCATCGTTTTCATTGGCGGCGGCAGCAGCAGCAGCAGCAGCATCTGCATCGAGGAATAATATGCTGCATCTACTAGGGACTACCTGATACTCCCACTGCTGCTGATGCTGCTGTTAGGGAAACGATGACAATTAACGCACCACATGTTCAAGTAGTCCTGCATGTTTTCACATGTTTTTGTTCACACACGTGTTTTGCGCATAAAAATGTTCAAGTGGCTCATTGAAAATACAGCCACCATGGGCGGCAAAGTGCCAAGCGTTCCTTTGTACTGCCTGAGGATTTGCATGATCGAACGAGCCATTGGACTAATCTTCAGCATGCCACTAGCGGCCACGGCTTCGGTGCGCAAACAATCTATGAGGAACCTAGCGTTTGGTCATCATACATCTTTTCTCCAAAAACTGCTTGCTACGAGAACTCCATCATAACTATACAATGAGTGATACATTGTCAATTAGTAATTATACATCTATATTTACATATATCGATGTTGGCTGCCCGTGGCGCTGTGATTCCATTTCAGCCTCCAAGCGCTCGTCACAGCCATTGTGATGTCCAGGGGGTCGGCCCACCACAAATGCACGTCGCATCTGAATGCATCTGAGAAAGAGTTGCATAAAAGTAAAGGAATAAAACGGACGGAGTACACATTGCTTTGGCAGCGGAAATCAGCTAGGCGAACTATTACCATGTTCCACAAGTTTCAACAAACAATAGCTGAGTTCATTGATGGGTTTGGTTGCTGTATGTTGATGTTGCTGGTCGCTGCTTTTTCCAGTGCCCCACCATTTGGATGCGGTCCTTCAAGATTGAACATAGAAATAGAACACGAATATGAAACGATCCAATCTAAGGTGGCCTCCGCGTCCAGGACCCACAGCAATGCCTGCAGCAACGTGAGACTCGGCACATCCTACAGAAGGGTGGGAACGGAACACCCTCCGGGTATAGATGGTCAAACAGAACACCCTCTTGACAGTTGAATTGCCGCTGTGGCTGATCAATTATCTATATAGATATATCAATTCAATATATCTGGAGATATCTAGCTCAAGTTCCAAATATATACGTAACTTACAGTGTCACATTGACATAGTGTCATTTTCAAGCTCCACACATGCTTAACAGTTTTGTTGGCATTCTCATTGAATTCCGCAATCGTTTCCAAGGCCTGCAGAGCGGCACCCACAACACGTCGAGCAGCCTCTTCAGTCTCAGCTGTCACTACTGATGTCCTGCAAGATTGAATTTGAAAGATCCAATCTAATGGCGATGGCCTCTGACCTACTGAGAGCAAAGGTATATATAATTAAGTGAAAGTGCACGCCAGTGCATTCAACGTTTGTCCAAGTTGAACGGGTCTGTTCCTTGCCTCAACCAAACGTTAATTGTACGGCATTGTTGCATCGACCGGACTTTTTCTCTGGAATGCCAAGCGCAACATCGCGTGGCAAGAACGTTCACTATGCCGAAGATTGCACAAAATGAAGTAGCTCGGAGGAAAGGGAGGTTCTAACCGGTTCAAGGAATGAAACAAGGATTGATGAGCTTTCCCCAAGCCGTTTGCTTGGTCAGGCACCCCGTTCAGTGGACGGCGGGAAATCACCCTCATTGTGATGACGGGTCGGCAAACACAATGAGAGGAGCTAAAGCCATAATGGCCAACTCAGTGCTTCCATCTCACTGACGTGTGCATCCTCAGCGATCATAGCGAGTGCTGAAACATGATGGTGTTCTGCATTCGAGGCGTTTCATCCACCCTGGAATGCTGCAGTATTGAAGCATGGCCTGGGTGTTCATGAAAACGTCCTCGCAGTGCTACCCATTAAGGGTAGAAAATGCAGTGATGTCTGTGGTGAGACCTTGGGAATCCTAACTATTCAAGCGGTGACACAGCGGTGAAACGCCTGAAGGTGATCTCAGCAACCAAGCCACTGGGCTGACAATCTGTATGTTGCAAACGAGCTCTCTTTCCCTTTCAATTGGTACTTGGGCTGGGCGTCACCAATGTGCAGTGCGCACAGTCCTGTTCCATGCCTTACCGGACCTGGTGCCGGATATGATATTCTGAATTCAAGAACCCTAACGGATGTCTAGGCAAGACCAGCATGAGTGACAAAAAAAATCCTTGCAGTGGATCATGAAGAATTGCTTAACAATCACATCATTGAGAACCCCAAATGCCACGACAAATCGTCTTACGTGGACATCCGCCTTGTGGACTCAGAAACCACCATGTGGACTTAGCACCTGTGGGCTGCGCACGTCTCCAAATGGATCTTCGGAAGCGATCAACCCTGCGCTTGCAGCACGAAGCACCTGCCGAAGGGCGGTGCTCAAGTTCAAAATGCCTGTCTAATACACTCTGATTCACTAACATGGAAGTGAAAAATGGGCCCCTGGCCCTGAAAGACAATTTTCCTTTACACACAGGTGGCTTTCTTCCACGTTCGTGAGTCGTAGGGTGTCCGGTCAAACGCCTCTGTCATGCAAACCACGCAATTTGTTGATACTATAGATATGTTTCACACATAGCGTTGGCCTCCAACCCAATAGCGACTTTGTTGACTTATCACTATACTGCCATGGGTCGCATGAGTTTCTGTTTGAAATGGCCACTTCTGGCTACCCGACCCGAGCATAGCAATACGTCCGGTGATGTGGATGTGAAGGACTGACTTGCCGCAGGTTCGGCGAAGAGGCCGGTCGAGCAGGCCGACCTCGGCGGTATGGAATGGCTGCAACTGAAATGGTACATGATGGTGCGTGAAATTTCGACTGCAAATATGATTTATGCAACCTTACAAAAAGAAGGATTGGTGAGAAGTTCAGACTGCCTGAACGTTCCACACCAACGGCTGGTGATGAAGATGGGCGAGTAAGCTTGGCACCTACCAAGGTGGATTCTCACACGTTGCAACGAACATCTGCCAAATACCAGCAAAACCTAGATCAGCCCATTACCATCCATTACCATGGTATGGCGTCAAGCGTCCCAACACGAGGGAAGAGACACACACACACACCAACATTTCAGAAGCTGTCTGGAAGACTGAAAGCCTTTGGTGGAGCAAAGCCAAGTTCCTATCACTATTTGGAATGATCCAAATGCTACAATCCAGTGCTTAGGGCAAGCGAATTCTCACATCGGACCGTTTTGGTTTCTGGAGGAAGCGATGAAATCACCGATGCCGACTTTGCGACATCATTGCCATGACATGCTATCTGAAGCCTGGAGCTTGTACAGCACATCAGAACGTATGATGTACTTCGTGCCCGAAGTCACAAGGCCTCCTTCATGCAACGGGCTCAGTGGATGATCCCCGTGAAAAAAGCACAGCACAGAGCCTCGTGTTGCAGGGATCTCGCGAACCTTGTGTTGCCCCAGCATGCCATCTGGCAACATAAAGCGAGTGCCACCACCTTCAAAGTCGTCATTCAGGTACAGGACCCAAGTTAGAATTGACCAGCGGTCGCCATAAATATCATGCACTAGGTCACCAGCTTCATCAATCCCACTGCCCGGCCAGGATCCATCTGTGTGCGCTCGGAAAATGTCACCAGTGTTGTACTTGTAGAGACGCCACCTTCAAGCATGAGAAAAGAATCAATGTACAAGACGAAACAAACATGGCCACACTCTGGCAGTCCTATCCCTGGCATCCTCGCGTGCACCGGAACAAGAACATCCAGTACAAAATAGTACAAAGATACTTGGGTCCCAAATAATCGAACGGCGTCAACCTCGGATCCATCGAAAACCGAAAGGACCCTTGCGAGCTATGTGAGTACGGCTGTTGAGTTGTAGAGCCGGGCTGTGTGGCCGGACATCATGTTCCAGCCTGGCGTTCAAGCCCACTGGAGGACCCCTGTCTGTGCCATTGGGCAAGAAGAATCGGCAGCGCTCGAATGCGATCTCATTCATCTCAGGGTCCGCCACCCAAACGCAGTTCTCATTCCGACGGATCTGCTGGCCCAAGGAGACCGGGGCATCCTCTGTGTAGCCCATCGATTCGCTCACCTTGATGAGTTGATCGCATTCCTCATCTGAAAAGACATTGTGTAGGACCTAAGCTTCGCCCGAATGAAACCGGAATTCTTTAGAGCCGAGCCGAATCAGCCGAGCTGTTTGGCCAAACCCACTCAAAACATCTCAAGACCGAACGTAAACGAGTTCTGAAAGACGGGAAATAAGGGGGATTCCGAAAGGATCAGAAAGGTGAGGGATCAACTCCAGCAACTCGACCATGTCACAAATTCCACTTCCACCCACACATAGAAGGGATCTGAAATGACACGGGGCTGCCAAGGAGCAAAAGCTCCAGGGATGTCAGGGAAATCCTGTCGAACGACCTCTGCAGCTTGGCTGAACCTGAGCTGGGCACCATGGTCTGCCTATCTCGCTCCGAGCGGGTAACTCGGAATCTCAGTGCATCTCTGTGCTCTTCTACGTCTCGGGGTGTGTTCGGGTGAGTTGAATGGTTGTTCTGACTCAACACGAACTTTGAACGGCGCTTCTATGCACATGCCATGAAGCTGAACCAGGCCAGCAGTGTTCGTAAAGATCGGCAAGTCTGCTCTCACTGAGCCACGCTCTCGAGCGACAACATGGAAGCCTGCTGGCACCCCTTAGCTTGGCATATTCTCATGTCGCAGTTTGCTTGTAGTATTGGCTCGACTGCCAATCATTGCTTGTGCCTTTCACGGTCTAAAGACTAGAAACTTTTCAAGCAACACAAGAGCTTAGGTTCTTGAAACAACTTTCGCCGCTGCAGTTTCTGATTGGGGTCCAGGAATGTAAGCGCAAGCCGTTACGGCAAGCCAAGCGTCCTTTGTCGCTGCCCTCGCTGCACGCGGCAATTGTCCTGGTCAATAAGCACTCTGGTTCAAAACAGGCTTGGGCCTAACTTTGTTTCACCCAAGACCACGTTTCGAAAAGACTGAGTTGCTTCATCTAAGGCTCAAACTTAAACAGTTAGCCAATTCTCTAACAGATTTATCACCATCTTCTAACAGTTTTTGTCGTTCTTTCATGTTGTTCAGAGTGCATCGTCCTCTGGGACCTGAAGCACTCTCTCAGACCCTTCACCCCCGGCCTCTTGTGCGCTCCTGCCACATGCATCTGAGCCCGGAGCCCGGCCAAGGCAGCACAAAGCCCAAGGCCATGTATGCGAACCATTCCAAGGAGAGGGCTGCGGGTTTCCAGGTAGCTTGAACGGTTTTGCGAACACCAAATCTTTAAAAAAGCTTGGAAAGAGCAGGCAAAAACGCTTTGTTTTAGATCTTTTCGCTATTTTTCGCTGCACGGATCTCCTGAGGCGATTTACATAGAACATCATAGAACATTCTCTTTCGATCAGACCCAACTTTTGAATCATGAGAGCTTCTATAGAAAGCTTCTTGCACACGTGCACTTCTACTTTGGTGATTTGTGATGCCACAAGCGAAACTTTTTTATTCATGAATATTCATGACGTGTAGCATCATGTAAGACATTAATAATGCGATGAGCCATGACACTGTGAAGATGGAGAATATGATAGAATATGAATTGTGCATTCTTGGAACCTGTACATGCCTGCAGGGCAAGTGTGGCGAAATGCCTTGTTTGATTGGGGTGCCTGATACCGACCAATCTTGTGCAGCAATTGTCCTTATACTTGTCCTTATTGTGAGACGCCCTAGTTGCGACGATTGACACACACATTACGACGACCCTGCCAAATGCACTGAATTCACCTCCATTCTGTTCCCATTTCCTGTTTTGTTCCACCTTTCTCCCTGAATCAAAAAAGCTTCCAAGACCGACTGCAGTCTTCCCGCCTCTGGAGCTGGTGCGTGTGGATGGCCGTGATGGTGGCTTGGAGGATGGAGCAGAGGTCCGGCTGGGAGGCCTCACGGGTTTTCACCAACAGGCACCGCAGGGCCCACCTGACGAAGGCCCTGTAGCCGCTACAGCGAGCCGACTTGACCAGACTTGAGCACCTCAACCGGTTCCTAAAATCCGGCCACGACCTCCAAGCTGTCTAGTGAATCTCACAAGCCTTGTGGTACTGGGTGTAGATAGCGTCGTGCCTTTGCGACGTTTCCTTAGCTTGCACAAATACAAAAGCAATTGCAAGGTGTCACGTTGTGACGTGAATGGAGGAAACAAGCAATCAAAGTGCAAACATTGACAAACAAAGGATGCCACAGAAAAAAACGGGAGACGCTTGAAACTGACCAGAGTTTCTCT